ATGTGTTACAATACTCAGACGTCCTCACCAGGTTATTATATCACTAATAAAGACCTGGTCCTCACAAATTAACATCAACTGAATGCAGGTTCAGGGTTTTTTCACCCGGTAAATCCATATGCTGTGCCAGTGAGGGGATTTATCAATCTAGATTCAGAAGAATAATTTGTGATATGCCTTAATTTACATGAGTCCAGAGTATATGTTAAAATAATATTTTATTCTCTCCATCCTCTGCTACAATTACTATTACAAACACAATTACTACAATTACAAATTACTCCTAGCTCTGCTACAATTTTATGATATTGCATTCATTTTGTGCTGATACCAACATGCCTAAATAAAAGACAGGCTTACTTCCTCTTGTCCATTTGTGTTATTTATGTTATTCTAGCAAACCTGCTAGCTGTCCATTTGTGTTATTTTAGCAAACCTGCTAGTTTTTAAGCAAAGCAGTGGCTGCCTACTCCATAAAATACGAGCACAAGCAGCAAGTGCATCCAAGGCTGGCCAATTTCCACATATCCTAATATGGTTAAGAAAATGTTTGAGCGGAGCCCAGAGCAGAGTGCCAAATTTAACAGCTCTGCAGTGAGCAGGGTGACACAGAGCCCTCTGCTTAGGCTCACTCTAACCCCAGCCTGTTAGCTGGGCAGCTGGTTCAGCCTGCTGACATGGGCTAGACCATAATTGTCCTTGTGCACAGAGCCCAGAGACCCTGCTCTCCCTGCCCTGGCAGGGAAGGTTCAGGCTCACTGCCCTACAAGGCTCTCAGGGACAGCAGCTCATTGGAGAGTTTCCCTTCTTGGGCTAAATATATTGAGGAAATCCTGGGTATCCCGAGGATATAAAAGAACATGGGCTGCATGAGGCACTCTGGGTTTGTGTAAAGGTTTTCAAGACTTCTTTTTCTTCCACTTTCTTCACCTACTGCTAATGTCCTCAAGAGGAGTTTGACAGTATCAAAAGCTATGAAAACATTTACATATATATCTATTTAGATGTATTTATTTATATATCTTCCCTTTATACAGGTATATATATAATACATATATATATGTGTACATATATAATATATATATACACACCCCTGTATATACACACACACCCCCCTGTATAAAGGGCAGATACCTTCCTTGCAGTTTTGCTCCTACTGCCCTTCACAAAACCTGGCAAGGTTCAGGCTGCTCGCCTGCCTCTGAGCCCTCTGCAAAATAAACCTTGCCCACTTGTGTTGCGCATTTGCATTTCAGTCCTCCAAATTTCACTGGGTTTCGGATTTTTGAAATGGCTGAGACAAAGGGCGACAAAGTAAATGAATGGCATTACTGAGGACTTCAAATCACACTTCAGTCTTCCCATTTATTCTTTTGTAATGCCACCAAAATCATTGCAAAGCCTGATAATAGAGATTTGCTGACAGGAGAGAAGGGGATTATTGAGTTTATAACAGTGAAACAACTCACTTTAGGCATTAAAAGAACAATGCTACCTTGATTATGCAAAAGGGTTAGCTGGCCTCTCCCAGATCATTTCCTATGAGATCATATGCAGACTTGGAAACAGAAGGGACTGGTTTCAGGAAGTTTGAAAGCCTTTTATGGATTATATTAACAAGGCACAGGCTGTTCCCTAAAACTGACTGTACATCAAATTCCACTGCAGCCACATGCCCTTGGCTGGAATGCTTCAGCGTATATGATAGTACCAACAGCCACCAAAAAAAGCAGCAATTCTGTCATTTAATCCCTGTGTCTTTTTCCTTTTTTTTTTTTTTTTTTTTTTTTTTTTTTTTTTTTTTTTTTTTTTTTTTTTTTTTTTTTTTTTTTTTTTTTTTTTTTTTTTTTTGAGTCCAGGGAATTAATTTTAATTTTCTGGGGTACAAGGAACATGCAACAGTTACAGTGGGAAATCAATTCTCAAAAGTTTCAAAGAGGGAAATCACTTCAGTTCTCAAAAGTACTCCTGCAGAGTACAGATACAACCTTTTACAGAGTTAAATACCTGTCTTACATCAGCAGAAATAAATGCTCAACTGCAAGATTTTGGAATGACACCTGATAGCTATTACAAGTCAGTTTTACTTTTTCTTCTCTGGTAAGAACTAGCAAAAAAAATATATCTGCGCAAAAGCACATCAGTGTCTGAGAAATGCTTTTTCTTGCTATTTGAGGTCTCATTTGTTATTGAGTATTTACTAACACACATTTTACAGTCAGTTCAGTTACTGTACATTTATGCTTGATACAGAAAATTAGAAAGCAAATGAGAAACTGCATTCCTTTTCCAAGAAATAATGCTGTACATGTTCTGATTTTTTAGAATGTAGTGGTCCAGCAGACTCATGAGTCTGTAAATACACCTCAGATGCTGTGCTCCTGTTTGGAAATGTCGCAGCACTTCTGGAGGCTCTGGCCTCCAGGCTCCTCAGCAAGGCTTGTGTCTCATCTGGGTTTCATGTTAGCTCTTTGGTGATGCAGAAATTGCATCCTGAACTGCACAAGAGCTACACTGAGAGACTGAGTTTCACTGTGGGAGGCAAACTAACCTGCTAATGGAATTAGATAACACTCACCTATTTATTAGCAATGGCACCAAGCAGATTTAGCTTTCAGTGGAAAGTCACAACATTTTCAAACAGCTTCTAAGTTAAAATCTCCCATTCTATTTACAGACAGGGGAAGAGAGGAGTGCATAACTGAAATGCAGCTTCCTGTCCAAGCCCAGCTAGTCAAAAGCAGCACCTCTTGCACCCCAGGTAAGTTCCTTCCCCATGGGGTTGCACTTTCTCCTGCCACCTCTCTGATGCCATGGATGGAGAACCAAAACATTCATCATGAAGATTCCCCCAAGCACTAAACTGCCATCTCTTACTGGAAATAAAACACATTTTGGTTCCTGTCAGGACTGGAAAGAAATAAGAGAAGAGTGAAAACCTCAAATTTATAATAATTATTTGCTATCTGTTTAATAATGGTGTTGTCTGTGCCAAAGAAGATGGAACAATTAAAAGACAACCACTGCCTTTGCTTAGTTTGGGGAATAACCATCCCTGATACAATCTTCCAGGAATCCATCCTTAGAGCCTTGCCCATCACTATTTATAACTGAGTAAATATTAGAGGATTCACTTCTTTTGCCCTGAAAAAACAAGACCTTTGGCCTTAACATATTTTTGGAAAGTGTTTCAGAGAAGGCTGTTGCTCTGCAGCAATGTTTCCTTCCATTAAAATTCCCTCTTAAAATATATGGCCCAAAGGAGGAACACTAGACCTCAAATATACCACAAATATGGACAAGTCTGCCTGCAGGCATTTGGAGGCTGGGAATTTGCCCAAAACATTATCCTTCAAGAATTAACCAACTCTCTGTCAGCACAGTTAGCAGCCTCAAAAAAGCCCCAATTTACTCTGACATGCCTTTGTCAGGGCAGCTCACTCATTGAATATTGCACTGTTTATCACTGCTTAAGGTTTAATTATTCCCAAGGACTGAAACTGAAGCCTTTATACATCCACATGCAAATAAAAAAATGTGTTTTGGAGCCGCTATTGCCCAGCAAATTCACTTTTAGGTTTCTCTGCTCCTGGCTTCAGCCCAGCTCACCCTGCCTCTTCTTTCCCTCATCTGCTGACACAATCTGTGATGGCCAGGGACCAGAAGAGCAGGCAGGGTGATCACAGGAGCTCTGTGCTCAGGACTTTGCTCTGCTTGGCCACTTAAACCTGCCTGTGAACATCAGCAATGAGAAAAAAGGAACTGAGGAAAGAGAACTCAGTGGCAGAAACTCACTAAAAGTGTATGCAGATAAAAGAGTTGTCAGCTCTACCACAAGCGTGACCATAATTCCTTGGGATTATCCTTTCTAAGGATAATTCCTTACAAACCTTACCCTTAAATAATAATCAGATAATGCAAACACAGCCCCTGGTAGTGACAGTCACTCCAGAGTGGTGCTCAAAAGGCAGAGAAACCCTTCGAGGCAAGCCCTTTCCTCACCTCCTCATCAAGGCTGGCTGCTTCAATTAAATTTTCCATGTTTTCCTTAGTTTCCTGAAATTGTACTAACTTGCTTTAGTTTCCACTACGGCATGGTGTTACTATTTTATGTAAATGCTCCATCCTTTGGCATCAGTGAATTTGCTGCACATGACATCATCACCTCCACCTGCATAGCCAGAATGATGGAGTGTCCTCACTCAGAGCAATGTGGGTTAAACAGCAATTACAGACCAAGTGCAGCCTGGGAACATTTATTATTATTAGCAGGACTCCTATCAAGTGCTGAATCTTTTGAAAGGCAAATTTTCTCCCACTTGGCAAGCAGAATTTTTGTTACGTGTCCCTATCAAACCAAAACCAGAACACCTGGGGAACAGAGAGCCATTGGCTTTGCTGACATATTCAGTACCATTATTATCTTAATGACACATAATGGTCTCCATATTCATAACCTTTCACTAAGGGAAAGCCCAGAGTTGGTGTTGGGCTGACCTCATTATCTCACTCTGTGTGTGCAAAGATGGCCACATGCAGGGTTAATGACAAAGAGACAAAGACACAAGAGTCCAACATTCCCAGGGGAAAAACACCTCCTTCCCATTCAGGTAATTTCCAGGAAGCAGGAGATTAATATGGAGCCACAACATGGAAAAATTTCTCAGTGTTCTAGAGAGCTAAATTACCATGCACATACTTAGCTACAATCCTTAGCTTGCAAAACACTACCAAAAATAAAGGGAAGAATTGGGGTGGAAAATTCCCAAATATACAAGTAACTTCCGGCACTCAGTTTGATCAAGGACTACCACAAAGTGTCTTCCAAATCAGGCTGATCACTAACCCAAAACAACCATTTCCTATACAAGACTCTGCATTTCAAAGGAAACTAAGCTAACACTGAAGTGCAACTCATGATAGAGATTGTCTCAACTGCACAAAATATAGCTCCAGGAAAAAATAAAAAAATCCAAAGGTATAAAAAGCATGTATCTCACCAGATATGATGCCCCTGAGCCTGGAAGATGCTGCCTCTTCAGCTCCCAAGGGATTCTTTGAGTAGGCCAATGGTTATCACAGGCACTGCAAAGATAGAAGTGTTTACATGGGGGTGCTGAAGAGGGCACCAAAGGCAGAAAAAACTTGACATTTAGGATGATCTAGAAAGCAAAACAGATCTTGATCCTTGCTGCAGTGGCTAGATAAAATTTCACCAGTGACAAAACTGATTTGCTGCTCCTTTTCTTTTTCCAGGGATTCCTCTGTGAGGGAGAAACTCCCAAGCAAAGACAGATACTCTGTGCATCTGAGCCTGCATTAAGGGAAAAGAGTGGCTCCCACTTGCAAGGAAAACTCCTCCATCCATTCACCTGCTCCTGCTGCCTGACTGCAACCCAACCACAGAGTAATGCAATCCTCAAAACACCCTGGGAAGCACCAGCCACAGAACTGACAATTTTAATATCCAAACTGCACCAATTAATATGGAGCCAAACCTGATTATGCCCTCATTAATCACTTCAGAGAAGGAAAAAAAAAAAAAAAAAAAAACAACAACTGAGGGAATTCCCTATTTCTTTTGGCTGTAGACCAGCACAGTTTCTTGATTGCTGGCTGCCTCCAGTCAAAGATGCAAAAACCTTCTGGCTATTTGTGCATAGCTGCTGGATTGCATTTACATGGGTTTCAGTGACAGGTTGTTTGTCTGTCTGTACATATAATTTGACTGCAAGAGTGGTGGAACAGCCACCTTCAAGCAATGGCTGGGATAAATGATAACTCAGCATGTGGTGAGAAAAAATTGCCTCTGAGCCATGCCTCAGGGAAAGAATTGAGACAGCTCTTGGGAGAAAAAACTCAGAACTCCAATTTGGAGTATCCTCAGCCAGCTGGGAGAGCTGCTCAGGGGCTCTGGTGGCTCCCATGCCCTTCCATGTACAGAGGCAGTAAAAAAAGACAAAACTTCCAAATGTTCGTATATTCATTAGAAAAAATGCTGGAATTAAAAGGTGCAGAGAAATTTTTCTTTTATCTGTTAAACCAGGTGAAGAAAGATACCAAAAACAAGCTTGCTTCACAATCAGCATTTAATTAGGCAAATGAGTTTACCTTCTCACCTAATCAACACAATCAGCAGGTGGGCTTAAGAGTATTCATTAGACTCACTGTCTTTAGCAAGAGACGTGAATAAGCCCTGAAAAAAATACTTCATGCTTTTGCAAGTGGCAGTGCAATCTTACAGGACTTCCAATCTTACTCGCCTAAATCCATAAGCAGCAGTGTCAGGGGCAGGATTTGCTTATGTTAGAGAATTTTGAGGTGTTTGTTTCAATTTCATACTGCCTGCCAAGGGGGGTTTTGAAGGTAGTGATGAAACGAGGAGGGAGGCAAAGTCTCCCCCACACATGCAGCACTGTGCTCCACCATGGCTAAACAAAAGGGGTACCCTGTTGTTTTACAGAAACAACAAACCTTTGCTGCCCGCAGAGCTGGCAAGACAGAAAATCACAGCTGGGACCAGCTAAAATGGCAATTCCTCCAGGAAACTTCATTCTGAACTTCCCAGGGCTGTATCACAGTAAATACTAAAGAATGCATCCCAAATCCAGCAGACCTGGTGAAAGGAATGCAGGTCCTCTTTGTGCAATGCATAAATCCAGGTTACAGGACTATCACAGCTTTAATAAAACTCCCATTAAAGTCAGTTGCAGTTGTATGTCTAACCCAGAGAAAATCCAGATCCATCCTTCCATCAATAAAATGCCAAACGACTCCAACCACTAATAAAATCCAAGGACTGACATGTCCTTCAGGATTCATGGAGCTACATGAAGTGATCCAGGTCTTTCAACAGGAACTCTGCTTAATTTACTGTACCTGTGAGAAAAAACTCCCCATCATTTACATCCAAAGAAGAAAATCTAAATTCAAAGGTACAACACAGTACAGAGAAACACCTTTAAGTTGTGTAACCTCCTGAACTGCTGAGATGTTTTGCAGACAAAGCCCTGAAGGTGGACATCAGTGTTAATCAGAAGAACATCTTGTTTTCCTCACTTAGCCTTGTTTCCTGTGATACCTTAACACCAAGTCCTTCCTGAGAGCTCTCATTCACAGGGTACTTAAGTGTTCTCCTCACCAACCAAACAAGATTACTCACCTCCTTTAAGTTAGGCTCAGGTTTGTTGAGGCACAGCCAAAACACACAAATACACATATATATTCCTGACCAAGGACATGTTTTTCTTTCTTGGGCTGTTTTTACTCTGTAGTCCTAAGCACAGTACTAAAAAAAAACTTTTAAAAAGGAATTAATTTTGCCAAATATCTTCAGGAATTCCTTATTGAAACAAAACTCAGAAATACACTTCAGACCTTTTCCAACTCACACCACTCTATGATTCTGTGATCTATCAAATCAAATACCATGAATGAGCAAATGCTGACAACACTGAGCCAGAGGAATTTTTTAATCTACTTGCTGATATAATTTTATAATGCTTCATACCACATAGCCTGCAAAATATCAAAGTCAAGGGGCACCAGTAACTAAAAAGCTTCCATAAAATTAATTTATTTGGTTCAAACTCAAGAAATCTCTGGCTGACACACACAAAGGAAAGCTGAGACAATTATCTTGCACTTCATTCTTATAATTTACTTTATTTACCTCATTATTTCTTCAACCTCCTATAGATCATCTCATCTCTATATTTACTTACATACTGACCAACTAATTACCAGGTGGGATAAACTGAGGTTTGAGTACCAAACCCAAACAGTTGTGGAAATAAAGAGTTTCTCTTCAAGGAGTCAGTACTGTCTTTCTTTCATAGCTTTACAACTAGAGACAGCGACTCTAAACAGAGCAGTAGACCACTGAGCATTTTATAAGCAAACTAAATTATGTTTTTCCATTGTTCTTTTCCAATGGGAAATTCTGTTCTCCATAGCAAGGGGAAATTACCATTTCCAGAAATGTTTCTCACAGAGGGCAATCCTCATAGCCCATGAGATTAAGTATGGGTACACTTAGATGGTAAAGCCTTTTACCAAAAAAAACCAAAAACACTGAGGGCTACCTATTTCCAGTCTACTGGAGAAAGCTTGATCCTCCTTTCCATAACCTAACCAAAGAAACAAAGTGCCTTCTTTCAGTGCAACACCATGGAAATGGCAAAGCCTGTGAAGCTTTGTTTGACCAAAGTGCTGAGGACAACTCTCCCCATTATTGCACCAACATTTAAAAACCTACAGAAACCACACCTGGATTTCTGAACATCTTTGGAGCCCTGGCTCAGGGCTATTTAAGCAGGAAAAGCAGCAAAAACACCCATTGAAACCATATCAAAATGGCTCTGATTTCAAAGGAAAGCATCAGATGTGCTGAATTTCCCTGCTTCCTAGCAATTCTGGTTGCAGAAGTTCCAAGGGATTATTTGGCCTGGTTTTATTCAGCCCCTATGACCAAAGGACATAACCCAAGCAGATCTGGGCTGCAGGCATTTTAAAGGATGCAAATGGCAAAGAAAACTCTCTTTCAGTGCAGCCAGAAACATCATTCTCCATTTACAGTCACCTGTAGAGACAACATGAAAAGCACCACTCATCACAGACAGCAGCATCTCTTTGGTGTCCTTACAGCAAGCAACCTACAGATTTCGAAAAGCACATTTGAAATGCTCCGTTGGATCATCCTCAGATTCCAATTCCCAACTCTCCCAGCTGACCACTGAAATGTGACAGAAAGGAGCCACAGACTTCTCATGTGCTCTTGAAAATCTCCCTTAAGGTGTCTGTTTTCATAGGACATAGACATTTTTGGGTAATACTTCTACCACCTATCCATCTATCCTTCTGCCTCTAATCAATTCTGAAATCCATCATAAACATTGGCCTTTTAGAAAAAATAATATCCTTTTCAAAAATCCTTTAATTCCCCCATGTATATACTCCATAGAAGGTCATGCCTTGTTTTACTTCCTTTTTTCCCCCCCCCAACATTTTTGCTCCATGTTTTTCTTTACAGGAGACCAAAAGATGGAGATTCTGTACATTTTTGTGGGACAGCTACATTGGGCAGACAGCCATTTCCTCAGCCAATATCAGCAGTGAATTTATAGCTCAGAGAAAACTCTGAAGAGACAGAGGTTTGCGGGACAAAGGTTTTGTTTGGTTTTTTTTCCTGAGACCCGGAAAAACTCTTTTGACAAGTTTGCCACTTGAAGAAGAAAAGGAGAATTTAAAGCCTCATCTGCTCTGAAGGGTCTCTGGTACCATGCTGAGCACTGACCTACACCCCACGAATGAGGTGATCAACTCCAGCTTTAGGACACACCACCAGACCTGCTGAGTGCTCCCTCGAAACTATTGGTAGCCTGTGTTATAAACTACATAATTTTTACTCCACCACTCATTTTCTTAACTTAGTTGTCTTCAGTTTCAATGTGTGTGGATGTAAGGAATAAAATACAAGCCAAACAACATTTTCCCTAGACAGAGACTATGCTACAAGGCTGAAATTGACCTTTTTTTTCAAAAAAAAAAAAAATTTTGAAACCAAGGTTTTCTGACAGGCATTGGTAGGACAATTAGAGTTCTGTAAGTGGGAAATGTACTGAGCACCAAACACTGAATTTTGGCAAATGCTGTGCTGACAGCATGCATCCAGCACAGCTTCGTGACAGGCTGAGAGCTGGATGGGACTGAAGGTTGTGTGGCAATAGGAAGGCACAGCACAACCACAGAGCTGTTTAGAGATAAAACCCAAGATAAGGCAGCAAAAAACTAAAAAACTTTGTGTCAGAAACATGGGAGAGAGGAAAACACAAACAACATTAATTAACAAAACCCTAACCCCAAATCCAAAACCTGTAAAAAGTTTCTTTCGAGACATTTTGAGTTGAAATAGGTTTGGCAAAATTTTGGAATGAGCCACTTGAAAAAAACACAGTACCAACAAAAAAAATACTGCATCTTTTTGATTTGGTAGGAGTCCACTTCATTCCACAGATTTTGAGATGTGTTTAAGATTCCATAGGCTTGGTATTACATCAGTGATTGTTCATAATGAAACTTCAGGC